TGGATGATGTTGATGGATTTTCGAATGTTGTACCATCCTTGCTTCCCTGAGATGAATCCCACTTGATCATGGTGTATGATCAACTTGATGTATTTTTGAATTCGGTTTGCTAATATTTTGTTGAGTATTTTTGCATCTATGTTCATCAGAGATATTGGTCTGTAGTTTTCTTTTTTTGTGGTGCGTTTGCCTGGTTTTGGTATTAGGGTGATGCTGGCTTCATAGAATGGGTTTGGAAGTATTCCCTCCTCTTGTATTTTTTGGAAAACTTTAAGGAGAATGGCAATATGTCTTCTCTAAATGTCTGATAAAATTCAGCAGTGAATCCATCTGGTATGCGGTTTTTGTTCTTGGGTAGTTTTTTGATTACCGATTCCATTTCATTGCTGGTAATTGGTCTGTTTAGATTTTCTGTTTCTTCCTGGGTTAGTCTTGGAAGGTTGTATTTTTCTAGAAAGTTGTCCATTTCTTCTAGGTTATCCAGTTTGTTAGCATATGGTTTTTCATAGTATTCTCTAATAATTCTTTGTATTTCTGTGGTGTTCGTAGTGATTTTTCCTGTCTCATTCTGATTCTGTTTATGTGTGTAGATTCTCTTTTTCTGTTAATAAGCCTGGCTAGAGGTTTAACTATTTTGTTTATTTTCTCAAAGAACCAGCTCTTGATTTCATTAATTTTTTCTATTGTTTTATTCTTCTCAATGATTTCTTCTCTGGTCTTTATTATGTCCCTCCTTCTGCTGACTTTGAGCTTCATTTGTTCTTCTTTTTCCAGTTTCAATAATTGTGAATTTAGACTATTCATTTAGGATTGTTCTTCCTTCTTTAAATAGGCTTGGTTGGTATATACTTTCTTCTTAAACTGCCTTTGCTGCATCCCACAGAAGTCCAGGCATTGTGCTGTTGTTTTCATTTGTCTTCTTTTATTGCTTAATCTCTGTTTTAATTTGGTTATTGATCCATTGATTATTTAGGAGCATGTCATTAAGCCTCCATGTGTTTGTGAGCCTTTTTGTTTTCTTTATACAATTTATTTCTAGTTTTGTATCTGTGATCTGAGAAGTTGGTTGGTACAATTTCAATCTTTTTGTATTTACTGAGGCTCCTTTTGTGGCCTAGTATGTAGTCTATTCTGGAAAATGTTCCATGTGCACTTGAGAAGAATGTGTATCCTGCTGCTTTTGGGTGGAATGTTCTATAGATGTCTGTTAGGTCCATCTGTTCTAATGGGTTGTTCAGTGCCTCTGTGTCCTTACCTATTTTCTGTCTGGTTGTTCTGTCCTTTGGAGTGAGTGGTGTGTTGACGTCTCGTAAAATGAATGCATTGCATTCTATTTCCTCCTTTAATTTTATTAGTATTTGTTTCACGTTTGTATGTGCCCCTGTGTTGGGTGCATATATATTTATAATGGTTATATCTTCTTCTTGTACTAACCCCTTTATCATTATGTAATGTCCTTCTTTGTCTCTTGCTACTTTGTTTTGAAGTCTATTTTTTGATTGAAGTACTGCAATACCTGCTTTTTTCTTCCTATTGCTTGCATGAAATATATTTTCCAGCCCTTCACTTTTTGTCTGTGTGTGTCTTTGAATTTGAAGTGAGTCTCTTGTAGGCAGCATATAGATGGGTCTTCCTTTTTTATCCATTCTATAACTCTGTGTCTTTTGATTCGTACATTTAGTCCATTTACATTTAGGGTGATTATCAATAGATACGTACTTATTGCCATTGCAGGCTTTGGATTCATGGTTACCAAATTTTCAAGGGCAGCTTCTTTACTATCTGTCTAACTTAACTCACTTATTATGCTATTATAAACACAGTCTGATGATTCTCTAGTTCTCTTCCTTCTTTTTCTTCCTCATCTACTCTTTATATGTTAGGTGTTTTATTCTGTACTCATTGTGTTTCCCTTGACTGATTTTGTGGATAGCTGATTTTATTTTACATTTCGTTAGTATTTAGTTGGTCTACTTTGTTGGCTGTCATGTTATTTTCACTGGTGACAGCTATTTAGCCTTAGGCATAGTTCCTTCTAGAGCAGTCCCTTTAAAATACATTGTAGAGGTGGTTCGTGGGAGGTAAATTCCCTCAACTTTTGCTTATCTGGGAATTGTTTAATCCCTCCTTCACATTTAAATGATTATCTTGCTGGAAAAAGTATTCTTGGTTTGAGGCCCCTCTGTTTCATTGCACTCAATATATCATGCCATTCCCTTCTGGCCTGTAAGGTTTCTGCTGAGAAGTCTGATGAAAGCCTGTAGGTGATCTTTTTTTCTCTCTCTGGCTGCTTTTAATACTCTGTGCTTGTCTTTGATCTTCACCATTTTAATTATTATATGTCTTGGTGTTGTCCTCCTATGGTCCCTTGTGTTGGAAGACCTGTGGACTTCCATGGTCTGAGAGACTATTTCCTTCCCCAGATTGGCAAAGTTTTCAGCAATTATTTCTTCAAAGACACTTTCTATGCCTTTTTCTTTCTCTTCTTCTTCTGATACCCCTATAATGTGAATATTGTTCCATTTGGATTGGTCACACAGTTCTCCTAATATTCTTTCATTCCTAGAGATCCTTTTATCTCTCTCTGCCTCAGCTTCTCTGCGTTCCTGTTCCCTGATTTCTATTCCATTAACGGTCTCTTCCACCTCATCCAGTCTGCTCTTAAATCTTCCCATTGTTTGTTTCATTTCTGTTCTCTCCCTCCTGAATTCATCCCTTTGCTCTGGAATATTTCTCTGTAGCTCCTTCAGCATGCTTACGACTTATTTTGAATTCTTTTTCAGGAAGATTGTTGATTACAGTCTCACCAAGCCCTCTCTCTCTGGTGTGTGAGGGATTTTGGACTGAAGAAGGTTCTTCTGCCTTTTCATGGTGATGGGAGTGGTCGCCGGTGAGTGGTCAATGTGTCAGCTGGGAGAACAAATTCCCTTCCTGTTTACTGGTTGCCTTGCCTGTGTCCGCCATCTGTGCTGGTCAACCATGTGCAGGGAGCAGCCTCTGGATGGCCTAGGGCACTGGCGGGGGTTGCCAGCAAGTGGCGTGTGTTCTGTCATGAGAACAGAGCCCCTTTGTGCTTTTTGAACTCTGCACCCGTCTCCAGTGTCTGTGCCGGTCAACTGTGCACAGGAAGCAGCCTCTGGGTCTGGGTCTGGGCCAGTTAGCCGCATGCAGGGAGAAGCCTCTGTGTTAAGCTGTGTGGTTGCTGTAGGTGGCACTGCTCCCCAGATGTTCTGCAGCAATGGCGGGTCAGCCAGTTTGCTTGCAGTGCTGGCAGGGGTAAAGGGACGGCAGGCTGCTGATTGCCCTGAGGGGCCTCGGAGCTGCATTGCCAACCAAGTGGTTAGGGCACCTGAAGTTCCTTAATGTTCCCAGCCTGCTGGGCTGTGTGTACCAGGACGATGTTGTCCACCTGTTAAACTCTTGTCCTTTTAAGACTTTTAAAGCACCTGCTTTTCTTTTGTCCCAGGGCAGCCGACTGTGGGAACCTGTTCGCAGTCTTATTCTCGGATTTTGCTTTTCCGCTCCACTAATATCCAGAGCACCATGCAATGTGTGTCTGTGCTCCTGGGGCAGATTAGTAGGCCTGGTTATTTAGCAGGCCTGTGCTCCACTGCCTTCTCACTCTGATTCTTTTCTTCCTGCTGGTTAGCTGTGGTGGGGGAAGTGCTCGGGTCCCGTTGGGTCACAGCTTTGCATCTTACCTTTTCCGTGAGATGTTGGGTTCTCACAGATGTTGCCTGGCTGGTGTACTGTATTGTCTGGTCACTCCTTTAGGAATGGTTGTATGTGCTGTATTTTCAAAATATATATGGTTTTTGGAGGAGATTTCCACCACCCTACTCATGCCGCCATCTTTTCCTTTTAAAGTATATCTCTACAGCTAATATTAATCTAGCCATTACTATTGCAGCCCAAGAATAATTTCCCTTCTAAAGGGCTGCATGCCTTTTCCACTCAGAACTGAGCCTTTCAGGTAAGTGTGATTACTTTAGCTTTTCAATGGCTAGTGACTACCACTGTTAACACCCTGAAACATAACTAAACCTTAAGGTGTAAAAAACAAGCAATTTAACTAAAATAATACCTTTAAGGCTGTCCTCCCATCCTTTTTTCTCATATTTTCCCTCTGTGTAAAAATCCGCACCCCTGTCTTCTGCATTTATCCTTTTTCCTTTGATTATTCTCTTCTACTTTACCTTCCCTTCCTGTCTTTTAACTTATCAAAATATAGAATTAAGATACTTTTTAAAGCATACTTGTAATTGTTAAAGCACAGTAATAATTACTATTAAAGTGTCACGTTTACTCTTCCTACTTTTAAAAATAGATTAATTGAAACTATTGTGTTCATTATGAATAAATTAAGTAGCTGGCTATTTGTAACTGGTTTTCCATTGTGCCCACACCCACCCTACCTTCCTACAAGATGCTATAGTAATGCTGTGATAACAACTGGTACATCTGAAGTCTTTTTTCTAACTGCAACAATGCTAGGAAACCTTTCTAGTTTACATAGTACTTTACATGTCCAAAGGTCTATCAATTAGCCATAATATTACATCAAGACCTAGATTTTTATGAAAATATATGCAAGCACAGTGGTGATACTAAAAATAGCATGGAATAGATTTTTCATTCCCATAACCTTTATTCTTTGGTCTGGATAATTCGCCTCCTCCCCACTCTTGGCTAGAGACCTATGTAAACACATTCCGCGTTCCATTCAGATTCTGGCCTCCAAGCCTTCTTATAGAGAAATTTTATTACTATCACAGTATAGTTTTACAACACAAATGCACAAAAGCATGGCCTTATGAAAATGATAGATTGGAGGGATGGTAACAAAAGAACTCTCCCGTTTACAAAGATTTGTGTCATAGTGTTTTAAAAGAGCATGTTCCTTGTAGTATATTCCAAATGTCTTGAACTTTATGGAAATACATCTTCTAGGTAAATAAAACTCTTCCGCCCTACCCCTTTGTCTGACATAGATGAGAATATCCTAACATGGCACCTCACAGCTATTAGTTCGTTGGCCTCCATGAAAGAGGCAGCACCTCAGGCTGCGGAAGAAGTGGCCCCGTCAGGAGAGCAGGAGACCTCGTCACAGCCACATTGCCGCCACTGCAGATATTTCTGTCTCTAAGGTCAGGAAGCAAATATGTCACCCCATCCACGTAAAAGAGAAAATGATAAGGAAGATGACTTTACAGCATTTACTCTAAGGAAGGAAGAAAATGATGAAGATGAGCTTGAAGATGCCTATGAAGTTATCCCTGCAGCAACAATAATGAATATAGATTCTTCCCTGGAAGAGTGCACAACTGGATTGTTATTTATTTCTAAATAACAGGTTCTCAGATGCCACAAATCTCATTCACCTGTGGTTGAAAAACAGCACATTCCATGCTCTAATTTATGGTGGTATTATGGTCAACAGAGCCATCTTGACTTTTGAGCCACAGCATATGCAGATTGGAATGACTGCTACAAAGGAAGCTTTGAGGACCTGTAACAGTTTCTGAAGAAAATCTAGGATGAGTTTTTCCCATGTACTGAATAAACAGGGAATGAAGGCCATCAGAGAAGAGGAATTACATGCAAAAGTCTGCTATGCTGAGTGCTTGATTTTGAAATCCACTGTATCATTTGTACAAGACGACAGTATTCTTGGTTTTCTTAGAACTGGGATCAGCATTGGGTCAAGTTACCAAATATACAAAGACTGTCAACAAGTGTTAACACAGATACCTAACAACCAAAGCAAAACCTACAGGCACCTGGTTGGAGGAGTAAAATTTGGACTTGGAGCATTCAATCTGATGTTATCACTCATGACACCAAGGATACTTAAACTACTCAATATTGTTGGTTATGCCGGTGATAGAGACGTAGGCTTGACTTTGTTTCATGAGAGTGAATCTGAATCCCATATAAACAAGGTCTTAAGTGTTTTGAATCTACTTTTTTATTACAGTTATATCTAGGTAGCTTTTGGTGCTGAAAAGGGTCACAGTCCTGTTATAGAGAATCTCTTCCTAATCTACGTCCATAGATTTCCAAAGTGTGTTATACTTAAATTCTTTCATGCACATTTTAGTATGCTGAAAGGAAAATTTTAAAATGCACAGTTAACATTAGAGGAGTGCATTTTTCTTCAGAATGAGTGGAAACAGGTTCATCACCTCTATTACTGGGAACTCATTTCCATTCAGATTCTGGCCTCCAAGCCTTCTTATAGAGAAATTTTATAGCTATCACACTATAGTTTTACAACAGCAATGCACAAAAGCATGGCCTTATGAAAATGATATATTTTTCTGCAGGATTGGAAGCAGGCTTACCGCTATGCTGATCTACTGTATCAACATAACAGGTGGTCCAAGGCAGTATATTTGTATGCTAAAGCTACACGTCTGATCTTGCTCCCTCTGACTTTGTGAAATTAGTATGTAAGGACATAAACTCTCTTTTCTTAAAAGTGGATAGCCTGAGAATCAAAATTTCAGGAACTTCTGTGCCAATAGAAAAGTTTATTGCTGAGAAGGGTATGCGCTACGGTACAACTACTGGCTGGTTTACTGCACAACCTATTTTGGAATTCATTTATGCCTGGAGTGGTTTCCGAGTCATAAGCAAAAAACTAGACCTTATTTCAAGCTGGCTGTCAATAATTGACAAAGGAAAAGAACTTCTACAAGAAAGTCCAAATAAAAAGTATGGCACAGATGACATAAGTTTGCTAAGTTTACTGAGAGGTCTGTGCTTGAAACACTTAGGCAAACACTCAATAGATGAGCAGTCCTTTAATCGTGTCATTCAAAAGGAGAAACTGTTAAAATATGACCACTACTTGGTGCCATATACTTACTATGAACTGGGAAGTTTATATTACCTAAAAGGAGATTATGCCACTGCAACAAAACACCTAAATAACATAAAAAACTACAAAGGCTATTCCATGGAAGCCCAATTACAGTTTAGGGTTCACATTGCCCTTGAAAAAATAGCTAAAGAAAAGTGATTTGTCATGAAGTGTGGTTTTATTATGAGTGAAGTAGCAACAATCAGTAAGGATATTAACAGGTAGAAAAAATCATTGCTTTGTGGGAGAAATCCAAGAAGAGGCAGCTGCTAAGGGTCTGAGCAGTAACAAGTAAGAAAGGAATCGGCCGTAACTTTTCCCTCTTTCTTCTCCACACCGATAAAATGCAATGTCTGAGACTGGCAAATGGAGTGATGCATGTTCTTAAAAAAGCAAAAGCAAATGTTGTACATTATAAAATATACTCTTTCAGGGACTTATATTAGATAACATTTTCAAAAACTCAAAAAATACTTTTAACACCACACTAGATAATATAAAGTCACAAATAACATAGGAAAAGTAGTTATACTAGGAATCCCAGTATCCTGTACATATTTTTATTTAATTGTTAAAAGAAAGAAGAAAAGACTCTAAGGTATTACTGTCATTTCAAAACGATACACTGAATAGCATAGATCTGAATGGTTTTCCCTTCATACACAGTAATTTTTATTGGCTTTTTATGCTGGAAGATATTTTCCCCTGTGTGATCAGTAGTATGTTTACTTTTTTTCATTAGAAAGCTCAAATATGGGTGTATAATTTGCTACAGGATAGAGAATTAAGAGACCCCTCCAAAAAAACCACACAGAAACGCTTTGAAGATAACTGGAGGAGGCCAAAAGGATAGATTCACAGGGTAGAAAATAAAGAAAAGACTGCTGTTGGAGGGAGAGTTTAGTTACCAACTGCCCTCCCAGTAGTTGCCCTCCCTGAGGTGCAGTTCCTATTAAGACCAGATCTTCAACATTATTAAACTGCTTACATCTATCCGGTTGCCATTGTTAGTGGCAAATCTGAGAGTAAATAGCAGCTGTAGGCAGGCTTCGGTACTGTTTTACCTGCCTTTGGGATAAAATCAGTCCCTAACTTCCAGACCATTATATTTGGCTGAGTGTATCCTTCCTATAGTCACCCTTGGAAACAGAAGTTGCTGGGAAATTTTGGTTTGTTAAAACATGAGTCAAATACATTATCTTAATGCTTTGGGTATCCAAACAACCAACTGGAGCCCAATGAGGAGCTAGTATTTCAGATTTAGAAATACTTTCTTACAAGAACATGATTTAATGAGTATGGCATCGTGGTTTAGAGGGTAGGCTCTGGCATGGTTGCTGGGATTTATATCCTATCTCTGTCGCTAACTGCATGACCCTGGGCTTCTGGGCCTCAGTTTCCTCAGCTGTAAACAGGGATAACAATAGTTTCTATCTCATGGTTTTTCTGTGTTAATTAAGATTCAGTTAATTATGATTGTATTATTACTACTACCAGTAATAATCACAATAACAATAATAATAATTGTTTTCAGCACAGAGGATTTAAATTATTTTCTTGGAAAAAGCAAAGGTCCCTTCATTACCTGCTTTGCCAATCTGAAATTTGACTTTTTGCTTTGGTCACTTATGAAATAAGTAATTCTGCCTAAATTACAGTTTTTTTATTTGGTCCCAACTTCTTCTAATAATAGTAAATTTATTAATTGGTTAAACAAATTTATGTTGAATGCCTACTACATGCAGGCATTGATCAGGGTACTAAGGATATAAAGGTAAAGCATTGTCTCTCCTGAGAGTTTTATTAGGGAAATAAATTAGCAAAGGATTTTGTTGGGGTAGAAACACTTAAAATAATTGCTTACATGGATAGGAGTTTACTTTTCCCAAACAAAAGAATCTGAAGGTAGACAGTTCAAGTCTCATATGGATATACTTTCTCCTGGGTATACAGGCCTTCTGTGCATGTCTCCTCATGGTGGAAAGAGGCTGCCTCACCTCCAGGTCTTCTGTCCAAGCCAGGCAGGCTAGAGGAGGAATGGCTTAAGGACAAAAAGGCTTTCCCCTTTGGAGGCTTTCCCTTTTATTTGAGGAGGGACAGCCTTCCTGGGGACTTTCATTTACATCTCATTGGCCAGAAATATATTCATATGGTCACTTCTACTTGCAAGGGAAGCTGAAGACTGAGTTTTAGCTTTCAAGCTTCATTAGGCAGTTGTGGAAAAGGAGTGTTAAAAGAAGCAATCTACAGTAACTGCCACAACACATATGTAAATAACAATAAGCAACAAAATGGTATCAGAGGGGCACAGTTGAAAAGGGGGCAAGGAGACAGTGAGATCAAGGACCCACCTGGAGAAGACTATGTGGGGATATAACAGGAAATCCTGTGATGGGCATTTCCTTGGTGAAGTTGCTACCCACACACCAGGTTCTGGCCCTTAACTGGCCCCAGAGTTGACTAGACACATTGAGGCTGATTCTCACCAATCAAACTCACAAAAGATTAAGTGATAATTTTCTATGCTGATTAATTTATTTATAGTAGGCACTATTCCAGAGTTGCAAATGTAATTTCCTGTAGGGATCAGGCAGGTAAGGTAAACATATGAAGCAGCCAAGTATAGAATAGTAACAGTTGTGGAAATTAGCTGTGAAGAAGAGAGAACAAACCTACCTAAAGACTTTCAAAATTTAAAAAAAATTAACACTGTGCTTATTAAACCTATCTGCATACCCTGATATGACCTTCTGGTTCCTAGACTGACTTCTGGTCTATTCCTTTTTTGACTAGGAAGTGCTCATGTTCCCATCTCAAGAACCATCTCTCCTGGTAAACAGTGCATCTAGAAAACCAGCAGAGGAGTCACAGACAGTGGTGGGCAGGGACTCAGAATATAAAGAGGCAGATAGTTTTAGGAGTGTCTATATATTCCAAGCCAGGGTGAGATCTGATGAAGCATGTCCCCCACTATATGCTTATATCTTTAGAAAGTCCCTGTCTTCCAGATTCAGGGTCTCTGAGAAATACCTTCCAACCGTTTGCTTGCTGACCTTTCTGCTTCTATGCCTTCTGTTGCCAACCCTGGGTTATTTAATGTCCAAGTAGGCAACAGTAAAATTAAGTTTTATTTACTAAAATACAACCCCATTCCAGTCCTGCTTCCAAAGAATACAACCAAGTCACTTAGTTTTGAATTTCAGTCATCCCTGCATTCTTTGATTACCCAGATTATGGATGGTTTCTTTGTGCAGACAATTTGATACATTTAATCACATTAATTTTATTTAACATTTATGGTTAGTTTATAAGAGCTAGGAAGAGGTACTTTACTTATGGCTAAAAATGGCACTGATTTTTAGCCATAAATGTATTATTTGGACACAGTTGAAAAGCAACAACACAGAAGCAGTTTTCTAAACTTTCATGCCTTACATTTATTTAGTGCTTTACAGTTCACAAGGTCTGTTCAAAACATTCAAAACATTTTCATCCTAGGTAAACAATCTCATCTTCACTTTACTGGTAGCAAAACCAACCTTCCCTCTTTGAGACTAAAATTTCTCCTCTGGGCAGGGCTGGGCAGGGCAGACAACTAATCAATTTGGAGACACTATTCAGAAATTGGTTCTGGAATTTTTTTTGTCATAATGCCACTACTTTGTTTGAGTGGAGAGGCTATTTATTTTATATTAAGTTTCATGCTATGTTCTATAATCCCTATTTTTTCCACTTCCAATTTTTCTTTATCCTTTCTAATAAACCAACTCAATCATGTCATTCCATCACTCAAATTTTTCCATTCTCTCATTTTCTTTGGTCTATGTATTCACTCATAAAATAAGTTAATATTTGAAAGTTCTTAGACTAGTGCCCGCTTATATTATATACTGTATAACTGTTTAAGAAATAAAAATTCAATTTAAACTGAGACCTACTATGTGTAAGGCAATGTGGTAGATATGGGATATGTGGTGGTAAATAAAAGAGACATGGCCCCTGCCCTTAGACGGTGTACAGGGCTTAGTAAGGGACTGTGTATGGGTTAGTTATGAAAATTTAGAGTTGACAGAATGTTGGGTCATCTAATCACACATTTTCATTTGTACATGAGGAAACAAATCTAAGAAGGCAAATGACTTTCAAAATCATTAAGCTGGTAGGAGTACAGTAAGTGGTATACAGGAGCCTGCTTAAAATGGCTGAGAAGGAGCCCACTGTTAAATATTCAGGAATTTTTTTCAGCCGTTTTTTAAAAATCTTGGTACCTTGAAATCAGTTATGGTGGGAATATGTACACCATAGCAACCAGCAAATAGTACAAATCCAGCCCTTTTTTTTTTTTTCAAGAAAACTGGTTTCCCAGGACAATGCACATTTTACCAAACTGAAACCAAAGTTGCTAAAATTCCATGACCACTGCTTTTCATTCCAACTCACACCTCCTTTGATCAGGCTGTGTACCATAAATGTAATATTTTGTGATTGGTTCTCACTGTCTATAAATCAAGTTCAAGTGCTACCTCTTTAAGAAGCTTTTCTAATTACCCTTTCCCCAACCCTTCCCATTTACTACCATCTTCATGTAGCATGAGAGCTTACTTGTTTAAAAGTACAATGAGACATTATCAACTCCCCAAAGGCAAGACATTTTTTAAATTAGTTTTTGAGTTCCTAGTTCTTAACAGAAAGCATAGCATGTATAGGTACACAATATATGCTTGATGAGTAAATGTGGAAATAAAGAACAGACACTTTTAGCAGGATCTACTTGTTGAATGAATGAAGTCAGAACTTAAAAAGGAATCTTGGGCTGAAATGACCAGTCATTTTTTTCTGACCTTCACTTGAATAAAATATACATAGTAAATATATGACCCCACTCTCATTTTCTACCTGCTTTTAAGAACCAACACTTGATTTGAGATTTGCAATAATTTGGCCAAGGCAGGTTTATCTTTGAACCATGATAAAGAACAGTGAGCAGTAGAAGACTATTGACAACTTTCTTAACTTCTGATTTTCTTCAGGGCATTGAGAAAAGTTTCTTTCAAAAACATTTCCTGTGCTGAAATTAAACAAAATATACTCCAAAATCTAAAATAAGCAATAAGGCAGAGGAAAGGGTGTGTGTGTGTAGATCTGAGGGGAGGCCAACTTTAGGAAGGAGAGGGAGGGGAAAGTGAGAGAAAAGTAGAGAATCTGAGAGAAGGGACACCAAATGGTATGAGGGAGGTACCAGGGGAGACCAAGAGTATGGGTGGGCAGGGAGACAGGAAGTAGCACCATCTGAATTTACTGAGGACTGGCTACAGGAGAGGGGCTTTCTGAAAACGTTGTTAGGTAGTGGGTTGGGCTCAGTCTGTTATAAGCCAGTGATATACATCAGCAGATGCTGGGAATAAACCTTTAGTTCAGCTAGGAGACTAAAGGGAGAGGGGGAGAGAAGAGAGGGAAACTGCGCCCAGTCTCATTATTTCAAAAGGGGTATTTTAATTAAGCTTGCAACTAGTTTCTTCAAAGCCTTTCATTCTGCAGTACAGTTAGAAGGCTTAAAATACACTACTGGTTGTAGCTCTTTTGGACCGAATTTTTATGAGGTCAAATGTTTCCTTCACAATTGTAGTAACAATTGATACTTACATTAGCTCTTTGTAGCTTTACAGAGGACTTTAACTCCTAAAATCTACTTTAATCCACTAAAGCCACATTAATATAATCAGTCATTCAATGGGTGAAGGTTGCAGGATTATTTGAAAAGACGATAGTAAGAATCAATATACTTTAAGGATTATACGGAACTCAAATGCTAAGCAGTATAGGAAAATTTTCAATGTTTTCTAGATCGTGGTTCGACAGTCCTCCAGTTCAGTTTTTGTAAATCTCCCTTGGTGTTCACATTTGCAGAAACTCAACATTTATCACCTTGTACCGTTTTTTCAGTTATCACAGTCTGAAAAAAATATTCTGGATTATGCCAGAAGCCAACTAAGCACGTGACCAGAAATCTGTGGCAGAAGAGTCTTTGCATTTTCCACTGGGGCTGGGGAGTGGAGGTGGGGAAAGGAGGGGTACCCCGTTTATAGTGAGTGGTCTGCTAGGTGGAATTCAACCCAATCCTGCACTTTTCTTTCCGGCTTCTGTACTCCCTGCAGGCCTGTACCAAGGACACATCCCAAAGAAACAGGCATCATAATTGCCTTACACAGGCCAAACAAACAAGAAATACCTTGGCTCTTCTCTCAGGCACTTTTAACTTACACTTGTAGAGCTTTAGGATTCACCTAGAAGGTTCGTGTGTTTGGATTCCACAGCAAAGGTGTATTTCCGCATCTAATGTCAACGAGGAGCTGGCCCGAGACCCTTCCTCTTTAGAAACATAAAATTGAAATACCCATTGTGGCAGTGGAGCGGAGCGGGGAGGCTTATCACTATTACACAGGCTCTCCGCCCTACCGGAACCCCGGCACCCGGCCTCCCTCAAGCCAGGACCCGCGACTCAGATCTGTAAGGGTGCGCCCAAGGCCAAGGACTACAAAACAGAGAATCCTGGGGGAAGGAAGTGACGACATGGGGCAAAGCATGCTGGATCATGGCGGGCTCCGCTCGAGAGACTCCACAGCGTGGTTGCCGAGAACGCAGCGCGTTAACTTCTGGCTGGTATTGTTCTCATTTGTCAGCATTAAATGTTAAGTAACCCTAGGTCTGAGCATAGCTCTAGGTATCATACGGCTGCAGGCGAGGCCAGGGAATCTGAGCTCTAGTCTTAGCTGCTGCCCCTCGGTTAAGCATCCTCCCATATAGATTTTAAGAGGAAATTGTCAGAAATCCGGGGCCTTCTTGTGGCGGGATCCAACGGAGACACTGAGCCAAAGAGCAAGTGGGGGATATCAGAGGAGTTTTCCTTACCAGTTTTGGCTAAAAGTTGTGTGGAGTCAGCTCTTTTGATCGAAGGAGAACAGAGTTAAAGCGTTTTAGCACCCGCAGCCCAGAGTTCAAAGCCAGAGTGAAAGCGATCTGGAGAGGTATTGCGGGATGGAATATAAGTATGCCAGACGAGCTACCCCCCAAATGGGCTCTGCGGGGACCCGGTGCCCCTTGGCTTTCCGATTGAACTGTAATGCTAACTTTTTTCCTGAGGCAAATCACGGATGTTCTTTATCTCTAGGACCGAGATTAGGGGTAAGACATGTGCTTGTGTGAAACGTATTAACCCGAACTGGTGGTGGTTTCAGATCTAGCCAGCAGGCAGCCATGACAGAGTGGATGAAAAAAGGCCCCTTAGAATGGCAAGATTACACTTACAAGGAAGTCAGAGTGACAGCCAGTGAGAAGGAATATAAAGGATGGGTTTTAACCACAGACCCAGTCTCTGCCAAGTGAGTATGAATCCTGCCTCCCTGAAATCATGACACCCCTTTGTGCCTCCTACATGTCATATCCAAACTCTGATAAATGGAAAAGCAGATGAATGAAAGGCTAATAATGCCCACATAAGAATTTTATTGCCTTTGAATCTAACTGCTGTTCTGACTATGGATTACTTTGTCAGACCAGACAAGTTTGTAGAAATGAGACACTTCTTTTCTTAATTTTTATTGGAAAACTTCACATAACACAAATGTAAAGAAACTAGTATAGAAAACACCTTACCCCCTCTTCCAGATATTTTAAAGCCAGTTGCAGACATCATGCAATTTTGTTCATAAATACTTCAATATATCTCTTAGTAGATCAGGACTCTTTAATAGCACTGTAATACCTAACGAAAGTAATAATAACTTTAATAATTAGTTAATTTTCATTCTATGTTCAAATTTGCCTGATTGTCTCAAAAGTATCTTTTCATATTGGTTTATCAATTTGGTTGTTAAGTCTCTTGAGTATCTTAATCTATAACTCTACATATGTTTTCATGTCATTTATTTCTTGAAGAAATGAAGTCATATGTCTTACGGAATTGAACACATTCTAGATTTAAGTCATTGCATTTCATGTGTGTAGTTTTTAACATGTTCTCTAATCCTATTTCCTTTAAACTGGTATTCATATCAGATTGATTTTTTGCAAGACTACTTTAAAGATGGTGATACATACACACACTTTTTATTTTTTGGAAATGATTTGAGATTTACAGAAAAGAAAGTACAAAGAGTACCCATCTATCCAGCTTTCTTTAATGTGGGCATCTTACGTATAACTATGATACATTTGTCAGACTAAAATTTACATTAACTAAACTGTAATCATTTGGATTTTAGCAGTTTTTCCACTAATGACCCTTTTCTGTTCCAGCATCCAGTCCAGGATCCCACATTACTTAATTATCATGTCTTTTTAATCTCTTCCAATCTGTGATTTTCAGTCTTTCCTTATTTTTCATGACCTTGACACTTTTGAAGAGTACAGGTGAGGTATTTTGTAGAATGTCTCTTAATTTGGGATTGTGTGATATTTTTTCATAAATACAATGAGCTTATAAGTTTTGGGGAAGAAAACCATAGAAGTGAAATTTCCTTCATACTACATCATATCCTATCATATTCTATTTAGGATTTTTGCATTTGTATTCATGAGTGACATTAGCTTTTTTTTTTTTTAATTATCCCCTTCTCTACTTTTGATATCAAGGTTATTTTAGCATCATCAGATGGGGTGAGGCATTGTCTCCCTTTTATAGTATCTGGAAGAATTTGGTTTGGTTAGAAATATCATCCTTGAAAAGTATATAGACTTTGTCAGTAAAATTGCTGGATCTTTTTTCCTTCCACCAAGAGTAGATGTTAAACTTTTATTCAGTTCTTATTAAAGATATAGTACTATTAGCATGGAGAATATAGTCAATGATTCTGTAACATCTTTCTGTGTTGACAGATAGTAACTGCACCAGATGGGGTGAGAATTTAATAATATGGGTAACTGTTGAACCATTGGGTTGTAATTTGAAACCAACGTAAGATTGTATATCAATGATACTTTAGTGAAAAGAGAAAAAAAAGATACAGTACTATTTACATTCTCTCTTTGAGTGAATGGTAATTTATATTTTCTAGGATGTTTTCTGTTTTAAGTTTCAAAATTATTGGCATAAACTTATTCTTAATATTTTATACTGTTAATCTTTGCTTCCTTATTCCTAATATTATTTATATGTGCCTTTTTTCTTTATTAGTAATGTTGCCTGAGTTTAATGAATTTTATGTTTTTTTCAAAGAACCAACCTGGCTTTGACAGTTCTCTTATTAACTCTTGTTGTCTGTTTCATTAATTTTGTGCTTGTTGTTTTCTTTGGTCCACTTTAAAGGGGAATTATTCAGTTTTTTTTTTTATTCATTTTTTTAACTTTAAAAGTTAACTCTGAGCCCTTTTTTCTTTTCTAATACATATTTAAGCCATTCATAATTCTAAGTTATGCTTTAACTAAATCCCTCAATGGTTAGCTTTAGGCTGGAGAAAAAATTCAGATGTGTAGGGCCCTCAGTGAAGCTTATTAAACAAGCGAAAAACATTTGGTGATGAGAGGATTAATTTTAAACAGGGAAGAACATTCCCTAGTATTCCAAGACCTATTGGGGTATATGACGCCTCGCATTCCATTGCTTCTTCCATATTTTTATGGGCCTTCAGGTTTTACTTTTACAAATCTGCTTTGAACTTACTTTTTCTCCCAAGTATTGTCCTCGTGAATTTCCTTGAAGATGGCAGCATGTCTGTGACCGGACTTATGGGACATGCTGTGCAGACTGTTGAAACCGTGAATGAAGGCGACCCTAGAGTGAGAGAGAAGCTGAGTCATTTGTTCATGTCAGGAGACTGCAAGGCATACAGCCCTGAGGATCTGGAGAAGAGGAAGAACAGCCTAAAGAAATGGCTTGAGAAGAACCACATCCCCATCACTGAACAGGGAGATTCACAAAGGACTCTCTGTGTGGCTGGGGTCCTGACTATAGACCCACCATATGGTCCAGAGAATTGCAGCAGTTCTAATGAGATCATTCTGTCCCGTGTTCAGGATCTTATTCAAGGACATCTTGCAGCTTCCCAGTGAAAGACCAAGAATTATGGACACAGTAACTGAAATAAGACTTTTATTTTTTCCTTCATAAAATGTTTTGAACGTTCAGTCCATCTGTTACAGGACTTTAAAGGCAACACAAGTGTGTGTGAATTTTAATTCTTTACTGTTCTGAGAAAATCAAATACGTGCATTATGAGTGCTAATAAATGAACTATGGTAAGGATAGTATCACATGAAACAATCAGCACAAGGACATAAGAAATGTAAGTCTTTTGATGGGGGTACACCTCTGTTTTTGTTAGTCAAGAAAGGTAGTGGAAAAAAAGGAATATGTTAGATTCAATATAAAATGTCTTAAGTCCCTTGCACTAACTATATGTCTGATTTTCAGTGTTTATCTTTTTTTTTTTTTGAATCAGAGTATATACTTTTTTGGCTGAAACTTGAAAGTTTTAACTATTAGTAAAATCTTAACACATAAACCTCATAACTCAAAGCCTCTAAAGTGAGCACCAGCTGGTATCTCTGAGGAAAAAGGTGAATGTGATAGATACTCTGCTGCTGAGTTCAACCCAGTTCCTTTGCCAGGTGGATTCAGCCCAGACTTCAGAGTACAATGCTTCTTGCCTATAATGTCCATTCCCCTGGTCAGCTTCACTGAGGGGAGGGAATACAGGAAGCCAGCTGGGCTGGGACTCTCACATGGAGGTTTCTGGCCTGGAAAGGCACCTCAGATTGTTAGTTTGGGAGTCTTTTCAGGGGCATGTCTAGAGTGACCCCAAGGTTCCCACATCAGATGAGAATCTTAAGCCCGTGACCTGCCAGGATGGGTCAGGAAACTTTGAGCCCTTGGGACAAATCCAGCCTGTTGCCTCCATTTGTTAATGTTTTATTGGAACACAGCCCTACTCACTAGTTTATTTATTGTCTGTGGCTGCTTTTGTGCTCTAGAGTTGAGCATTGTAACAAAACATATGACAAATTTACACAAAAATAGGGCCTTTTACAGAAAAAGTTTGCTCCTTGACCGCCAGGGGTCTTTGCCCTCCCAAGGCTAACTTCCCTTGGCACTTGTAACCTGGCAAGGTCCCTGAGGCTGCCATGAGGCTGAAGTGACACTTCTTCCTATGCTACCTGCAAAAGATGCCAATGTACAAACAGCTCTTTCAGTTTTCATGTCCCTTGTCATACATACAAAAAAAGAATTGCTACCTTTTGGAAGAATTACTTTAAAATAAGCAGGGTTTAGGGAGTCTGTGATGCAGTTTGCTAACAAAGCTGTTTTGTTCTGTGTCGTTTATAACAGGATGTATCCCAGTGCTTCTCATTTGAGTATTGAAAGCAGCTGGGGAGCTTGTTAACACAGGTGGTGGGGACCCTCCTTCCAATCAGTTTTGACTCAGGAGGGCAGGTTGGGGCCCAGGAATTTGCATTTCTAACAAACTCCCAGATAATGGTGATGCTGTCTGTCCCAGACCACACCTGCAAAAGTGGTTTAGAAACTTCAGAGGAACAAAAGTCCTTCCCTTTTAAAGTTCCATGTTCCTAAAAGTGAAACTTAGCACAAAGCCTTTTCCCCTGTTGACCAAGACACTCCCCTTCAAGCCCTGTAATGTCTTCAGAAAGCAAATAGGGGAAGGGGAATAAGAACAAAAGAAATTTAACAGAAACTATTCTGCCAAAATGAGAGAGGCCTTGAGAGGTGAGAAGCCATGTGGGAAATAATCCACAGCATGTTGGGTGAGCCTTGGCCCAGGGCAAGGGCATTGGTGTGTTGATAGATTATTTGCTGTCAGACTAATAAACTGAGGACACGGACTTTCTTGGCATCTGAATCCTCTGATTGTTTAAACAGTTTGCCTGCAACCGGAGTGCTGCAGTGGGTAAATGCTCTGGTTCTGCCATGGAAACCTGCCTGTTTAGGGAGTTGCCCTGACCAGTTCCTCAGAGAAGATGCTCCCCAGGAGTTTACTCACCTGTTTGAGATCCCTCTGATTCCAGATTCCCAGAGGGAGATTCCTCCCGAAAGTTGACTCTGCTTTGTTGCCAGCCGGAGATGGGAGCCAGGGCAGTCTTTGAGCACAGTTGGTTTCAAGAATACTTTAAAACAAAAGGTTATAACTTTCACTGAGTATTTTTTGCTAGCCCATTCATCTGATTTCCTAAATCTCTCCATTTTCTCCTAAAGATGATATGGTTGAAATAGGTTTTTCCATGAATTATTTTTTTTTAAATTACTATTGAAAATTTTAAAACATTCACAATCTTATTTGATGAGAACTGATGGAAACGTCATGAACCCTCTTGAAGTAGACTCTAGAATGTTGAAGACAGGGCTAAAGATTACTATAACTTTTGCTTAAATTTTGGGAGAAATCAGAGCAGTGAAGAACTGTAATTACATATATGTAATTGCTTCTACTGCCAAATATAATGTATTTGGGTTTTTAAAAAACCACTTTATTGAGATATGATTAACATACAAAAACCTGTACGTACTTACTGTACACAACTTGCTGAGTTTGGAGATAAGTATACACCTGTGAAACCATCACCACAATCTATATCAGCAATGTATCCATCACCTCCAAAAGTTTTCTCCTGTCTTCCTTACTATTATGGAGACATGTTGTTTAAATGGGAAAGTACACAGGTGAATTCAGAGACAAAAGGGTGGCACCAACAGAAACATTTATCATTAAAGATTGTTTTGTGTCAGGTCTGTAATTAGTGATTTGGCTTCCTCCTCACATGCGAGTCCCTTGGTGCCCATTGTGTAGCACGGCTCCTGATTTATAAAGACATCTCTATAAAGACATTCAGTTTGGTACTCTTACTAATCATCAAGCCCTAAAACAAACTGATTCTTTCCAGTTCAAACTATAAAAAAAAAGAGTCTAGAAATGATTATTATTATTAAGCCTAGAAATTAGTAATTAGGCTTCATGTTAGATATAAACATTTTGCAGTCATAGCCCTGTACCCTTCCTCATCTGTTTTTTAACCCTATTTGTGTTTAGCATATTGGCCAAAGTGTACTAGGCTAGGGACTCTGTTCAAATAACAGAGATAAAGTGTGTGTGTGTGTGTGTGTGTGTGTGTGTGTGTATTTTTTGAACATCTTCATGTGGGTCCCATGAGAAGTTGATTTTGCATCGGCAAGTGTTAGCAGTGTTAGTGTCAAATCATATTTTCAAGACCCATGTTTTAACTTTCACATTTTCAAAATCAGAGATTTAAAAAAACCCAATTTAATGGTAGAATATGTTTTCAAAGGTATTTCTACCTATTTGTGCATGGCTCTTCCCATTTATACATACAACTTCCTCAAATACTGAAGTACTCTGCATCTTTTATAACAACATGAAGTAATCATAAGCTCTTACTCAGTACATGTTTGTTCGGGGTGATGTGGCAGAGCTTTTGTTTTGTTATTCCAAACATACTTACATTTTCAGAGATGACTATGGCCATTATATCTTGACTAAAAACTACAAGCTAGACTTCGTATGTGGTTTTTTTAAAGTTCCATGTTCCTAAAAGTGAAACTTAGCACAAAGCCTTTTCCCCTGTTGACCAAGACACTCCCCTTCAAGCCCTGTAATGTCTTCAGAAAGCAAATAGGGGAAGGGGAATAAGAACAAAAGAAATTTAACAGAAACTATTCTGCCAAAATGAGGGAGGCCTTGAGAGGTGAGAAGCCATGTGGGAAATAATCCACAGCATGTTGGGTGAGCCTTGGCCCAGGGCAAGGGCATTGGTGTGTTGATAGATTATTTGCTGTCAGACTAATAAACTGAGGACACGGACTTTCTTGGCATCTGAATCCTCTGATTGTTTAAACAGTTTGCCTGCAACCGGAGTGCTGCAGTGGGTAAATGCTCTGGTTCTGCCATGGAAACCTGCCTGTTTAGGGAGTTGCCCTGACCAGTTCCTCAGAGAAGATGCTCCCCAGGAGTTTACTCACCTGTTTGAGATCCCTCTGATTCCAGATTCCCAGAGGGAGATTCCTCCCGAAAGTTGACTCTGCTTTGTTGCCAGCCGGAGATGGGAGCCAGGGCAGTCTTTGAGCACAGTTGGTTTCAAGAATACTTTAAAACAAAAGGTTATAACTTTCACTGAGTATTTTTTGCTAGCCCATTCATCTGATTTCCTAAATCTCTCCATTTTCTCCTAAAGATGATATGGTTGAAATAGGTTTTTCCATGAATTATTTTTTTTTAAATTACTATTGAAAATTTTAAAACATTCACAATCTTATTTGATGAGAACTGATGGAAACATCATGAACCCTCTTGAAGTAGATTCTAGAATGTTGAAGACAGGGCTAAAGATTACTATAACTTTTGCTTAAATTTTGGGAGAAATCAGAGCAGTGAAGAACTGTAATTACATATATGTAATTGCTTCTACTGCCAAATATAATGTATTTGGGTTTTTAAAAAACCACTTTATTGAGATATGATTAACATACAAAAACCTGTACGTACTTACTGTACACAACTTGCTGAGTTTGGAGATAAGTATACACCTGTGAAACCATCACCACAATCTATATCAGCAATGTATCCATCACCTCCAAAAGTTTTCTCCTGTCTTCCTTACTATTATGGAGACATGTTGTTTAAATGGGAAAGTACACAGGTGAATTCAGAGACAAAAGGGTGGCACCAACAGAAACATTTATCATTAAAGATTGTTTTGTGTCAGGTCTGTAATTAGTGATTTGGCTTCCTCCTCACATGCGAGTCCCTTGGTGCCCATTGTGTAGCACGGCTCCTGATTTATAAAGACATCTCTATAAAGACATTCAGTTTGGTACTCTTACTAATCATCAAGCCCTAAAACAAACTGATTCTTTCCAGTTCAAACTATAAAAAAAAAAGAGTCTAGAAATGATTATTATTATTAAGCCTAGAAATTAGTAATTAGGCTTCATGTTAGATATAAACATTTTGTAGTCATAGCCCTGTACCCTTCCTCATCTGTTTTTTAACCCTATTTGTGTTTAGCATATTGGCCAAAGTGTACTAGGCTAGGGACTCTGTTCAAATAACAGAGATAAAGTGTGTGTGTGTGTGTGTGTGTGTGTGTGTGTGTGT